ATTCTTCAAATCAGGTAACTTTATTATGTCCGAGTATCTATATTGGCAAGGGAACTGTTCAGGTGCGGTTTTCTTAGCTTTCGAGACTCTGGACAACGCTGTTTCTGGACAACGCTGTTTTTAATCCGTTCAATATCTTGGTTGCAAACTAGAAACTCAGCTATCAGAGACACAACTTTAATTTATCATTGATTTCACAGGCAGAAATTGAAGGGATATGCACCGTAGATATGGCGTCGGATACAGCATTCAAGGCTTTAGATAATTTTGCACATTTCGGCTAGCATATGGGCTATCATCTTTAGTTTTCATGAGATTATTAAAGGAAAGAAAACAAAGTAGTTGCACTCCATGCACGAAAACCCAGGGTGGAAAAAAGGGGGTAAAATTACAGTGTTTGATTGGTAAGGGGAAAGTCTGAAAACCGTTGGGTCGAGAATTTCTCGCGAACAGCACGCGCCAACAGCACGCGCGTGTGAACTTACGCGTGAACATCGCTCTCTCGTTACCAGTCACCTCTTAATGAGAAACGAACGCCTGTGGAATATTTGCCAACTGGGCAAAAATGTTTTCTCTAAAGATCTCAGGAATATTTTAAAAGTTATCTTTTACAAGTTGATCCAAATCTACCGTGTTCGACTCTCTTCGACTCCTAAAATAATTCCCGGGAAGCAGAGCGTCAATCAGAGAAGCTTGATTAAGGAGATTGATTGTTTAAATGGCTGTTACTCTTTACAAAAAATCGTGAGGTCGAAAAGATGAGCTCAGGTGAGTTTAACTCTTTGACGACTGTTGTTCTTTTTGGTGCTAATTTTTGAATCATGAACATTTTCCTTCATGGATCCATTCAGCTATCCATTTAAGCTCTTAAGATGGTAAACAGCAAAATCAGCAAGGATAGATCTTTCCACAGGGACGGTCATTTTAGCACATTGTGACCAATCCTAACAGTGTTAATGCATCGGTCAATTCTACTCTACAATGACTACAATGGGGACTACTCGTAGTCTAACAAAAAAGCTGCTTAATTATAATCAATTAGCAGAAAAATATGCTTTGAGTGTCAAAAATGTCTTTTTAGCCATTCCCATGCTAGCTAGCCAAAAACCGCTCCAATAAGGAGGATTTAGTCAAAAATACAGTTTTTTGCTTCAAAATGGCTGTAATATAAAAGAGTTAATTTTACACTGGTAAGCTTATAAAAGCTTAAAACTTACACTACGTACTTTTGTGTCGCTTGTTTGCTAATTGCTTAGTCTTTGCAGCTAAGGCCTGTTTCAAATGTTGTGCTACTGCCGTGCCCTACTCAATTGATCGAATTGAATTTGACTTTAGCACGGCAGTAGCGCGACGTGTGAAACCAAGTTGTGCTACCCCCATGCCTAACTCAATTCATGAATTATGAAATACATTAGAATATATTTAAAAGTTTGCTAAGCCGCTTCTTTATTTTTGTGTTTTGTTTTTGGCAACAGCCATTCTATTCGACTGTCATTGTGTGAATTAAATTCGACGTCTCAAACCAAGACGTGCTATTGTCGTGCTGCAGTCAAGCTACAGTCGAGCCAGCTTAGTGCGGCAGTAGCACGACGTTTGAAACAGGCCTAAGTATATTATTGGACCTTAAGTGAGTTTAAATATTCTGCATTGGCCTTTAAAAAAAAGAACTGTTTTATTGTGAAGTTTGTTTTCAAATTATGTTCCTTTTTCTGTCAATAAAACTGACCGATTTGACCTTATCGAAGGTTAGTTTTTCACTGCTACTTGAACACTCTTATAATATCACTACTATTTAAACACTCTTATAACGTTTATTTCTAGGTAGATACAGCGAAATTCGTTGTATTGCGCGGCGTGTTTTGCAAACGTAGAGGGGATTTTGGGTTTTTCTGTTCCGTCAATCATATTAGTGAAGGCGGGGTTAATATAATGCAAATCACAATGTAATGTGCTTGCCCAGCTTGGCTGAGAATGACTCTAGACTGCTCAAGAATAGCGAAGGAAATCGCGATAGTGAGTGGATTTATTGTTAAGGAAGGAGGCAGATGTTGCTTTATTCTTGCAAGTAACAAGAATGAGAAAGATCATAAAAATCTGCAAAGCAAACTAAACTGGTCGATTATTGCCCAAAAAAGGACAATCACAAAGCAATGAACCTTGAAATGCGAAACAAACAAAACGGATCAAAATTCACCAATCACGAGTCACAAACCATGACTTTTTGAACTCGTGCAAGTAAACATGTGTTTCCTAAGAGGTCTGCTAAGATGATTGATGGAACAGAAAAACCCAAAATATGCATAATGCACGGCGCGATTCAATGAATTTCGCTATAATATGTTGATCAATATATTGAATGGATGTATATTTGTAGTTTTTTATGACATTATTGTGATTATTGTAATTCACAGCTTTTGGGAAGATCAAAGTGCAATGTAATGTAATTTTTTATCAAATCTATATAGCTATCTATCTATCTATCTATCTATCTATCTATCTATCTATCTAAAAACACAGGAGTGAAGGGTTCCATCTAACATGAACATGGGAACATGGAGGAACACAACCCCATTTACTTTCCCTACTAAAATAAAAGAACTCGGAAAAAGTGGATCAGTCACATGGACTTTTCTTTTCTCTCTTTGGTTCCATTTTCTTTAGATAATTAATATATTTTTCAAAATGTGTCAGTCAATGCTGTAATAGCTCAAACTTTTCTACCAGGCGTGAGAATAGAACACAGGTGTGAGTAGGAGTGAGATCAAAGTTTTTTGATCCACGGGCATAACAATTGCTCCTTAGGTGTGATACGTGGCAGGTATAATAATTTCCTTATTGCAACTCAGTTTATGCTAGAGCATTTTCATATCATTTATCTAGAGTTTGCAGTCTTCCTTAGGTGATGAAAGTATGTTAAATTTCCCACTCTAACAGACTAATGGATCTGCAGCAAAGTCTAAAAGCTGTAAAGTTGTACCTCAAGCTGGTTGCTGTAAGGATGGTGAGTTGGCAATAATTGTAAAAATTGATTTGCAGCAGAATGATTATCCATGGATGTTGAAAAAAAAAACCAGCTATCAAAAACGAAAAAAACTCTTCTTAGTAGGTTAAAATTTACCAGACATTGAGCTAAAGGCCAGAAAAGTACATAATCATGGTGGCGGGATCAGTTCAAGTTGCTCAGGTTCTGCTGTATTCAGGTTGTGTCAGGTTTCATCAGTAGTTCAGTTGTGCTTCATTAATTGCCTCTGTATTTCTTCAATAGGCAAAGATGGAAAGGATGGACAACATGGTGGGTCATGCATTAACATGCAACGATTTTCCTTTATTATTAGGCTGCCTGTGAGGGTAACACCCAAATTATCAAGAAACGAGAAGCAAATTCACACTGTTAAGCTTTTTACTTTTTCTTTTGAAATAGATGCTCCCAACATTATAAGCTGTGCTCCTAAAACTTTCAGCTGTGCACCTTAAATTTCGGCAGCGCACCTAAAAATTTACATCTGGTAGCAAAAGCTCCCAAACTCAAATTTAAACTTTGAGCCCTGTTAAAAAAAGTATTTCAAACACCAAAATTAAGCCAGTGTCACATTTTATAGCCATAGAACGACAATAATTTTTGGAATTTCCTGTTAGATCAGATTAGTCATGTTAGTACTGTCATGTCATGCTATACACTTTTGGTGGCAGAGGGATGGGAGTGAGATGTGGAAATGTCCCAGTTGAAAATAATGCCAATCGTTTCTTGCTCTATCCCATTCTCTGGGTTAGCAGTAGCTATACACTCAAGCTGGTAAAAAGTGTAAATTTTATAATCTACAGGTGTATACTTCACAAAATAGTAATCCACTGCATCATGCAGTCGGCAGCCCAATGAACCTTCACTATATGGGGTTCTTGTCACCATTAACATTAATGCTGCATTATAGATTAAGAAATAATTAGCCACCATGGCCACTGGTATAATGAAGTGTTGCTTTTGATTTGCAGGAAAAGATGGACGTGATGGAGTGAATGGTGATGTACATTTTATGTTCCTTTCATTCTCAAAATAAATCTTAGCCATGGTGCTCACTCTTGTCATTTATTGTAGTAACATATTTTTGCAACATTTCTTTACCCTTCCATCGTAGCTTGTTGTCTGTGTTCTACCCTAGCTTTTAAATAATCCAAGGCTGCGCTCCGCTAAGAAAAATTGATAGGAGCCCAGTGCTCTGTACCTGTGAAATCCAGGGTACCAAGTGTAGGATTTTTTTGAAAAAGCTAAGATGTCCTAGTCATCCAAGATCAGTAAGTAAGGTGCCAGGGGCCACTGGTTGCTGCTAGAGAATCAGCCCTGTAATCTGAATATTACATTTTGTTAATTGTTTTGAACACAGGAAAAGATGGCCGTGATGGACGAGATGGCAATGGAATAAAGGTTGGCCTTTCTTAATGTTAATGCATTGTTTTCTCTTTTTGCTTGCAAAGTTCAGAAATTAAACAAACCAGGGAACTGTATATCTCTCTCAGACATGGTCTCTGTACTAGTGTGAAGATAACAAGTTGCCAAAAAGAAGTTTTACCGTCTTAAACTAACATTTTGAACCTTGAGGTAACTTAGATTAGCTTAGCTACCCGCAGGCATGTTATTGTACGTACTCTTACTTCAAAACACAATAAAATAAAATGTAAAATGTAAAAATGTACTTGAAAATCTAGGCTTTTCCCTTTTCAGAGAAAGAAGAGGAAGACATGAAATAATTTTATAAAAAATCAATAGAGTAAAATATGTTTTTTTTTTGGAACAACCAACCTTAAGGGGCACTGTCACCAGATGTATTTGCAACAATGGAAACAGGACAGAAAAAATAATTTTAGTCATATGTTTTCGTTGTTGCAAGTCTTAACGAAAAAGGAACAAGATATTTCTAATCATTCATATACTGCCTTAAAAAATTGCCTGCTTGCCTGAAGTGGTTAATTACATTGCATTTTTATGTGAGTATGACTTGTCAGTTCCTCTGCTCTTTAGTCAATTGAGCTTGAAGTTACTTGCCTAGCTGGCACTTAAAGGGTGGGGAACTTGTCTCAAAACCTCCATCTGAAAATTTTTTTAGCCCTGTTTTTTTTTTACCTGTCTTTGAAGTTAATATCTTTTGGCATGAGCCTGATAAATCCCGTCCCCACTGCCAAGGGGCCTGGATCCAAAATATAATAATTATATTTTACCCAGGCCCCTTGGCAGTGGGATAGGGGATTTATTGATTTAAGACACTATTAGGTACAAGGTAAGGTAGAGTAACCTTCCCTACCCTATTCTATGGTTATACAAGGCACGTAGTCACTAAGCAGGTGTATATATGTTACAGGTCAAATTTGATTTCAGGTTATTTTTGATTTAACCTAGGTTGATTTTTTTAACCTAGGTTATTTATAACATAGTGTTATATAGTCATGCAGTAAGCCATGTTACTGGTACATTGATATGTTTGAACTAAACAAAAGGTGAACAAAAAGTGCATTAATATGTGTTGACTTTTAATTTTTAGTCATTTTGTTACTGTAAATAAATAAACATATTTTAGTGGTAGCAAGTCCATCAAGCGGTTCTTCACCTACCACATTCAAAAAGCAATGTGCCACCCCATAACTGCAGCACCCATGCACCATCATTTTTCTCCATTAAGGCTGAAGTTTCTTAAAGGATAAATAAAAGATGAATAAAAAAAATGCACTTTATTTGAGTGTCAATGTATTTAGCATGAAAGTGCTAATTGGGGACATTATATTTTATGTCTCCTAATGGAGACGGGACTGCCATTTTACGTGGTCATCGGAGGCACGTGAAGGTCCAGCCGCCTGCAGTGCAAAGGGAGTACCTTCATTTCTCAGTTATTTTAAGACCCTGAGTATTTGTCCAGCCCCGGGAATCGAACCCGCGACCTCCCGCTCTGCAGTCAAGCGCTCTACCGACTGAGCTAATCCTGCTGTGGTATAAAATTAATAGTAATAGTCATCTTCTAAGTTATAGTGTTGTCAGTTTGGGTTTCACCTTGTAAATATCTATGTTAGGGAGAAAAAGGAGAAACAGGGAAACCCGGAAGAGATGGAAATGCAGGTGTTAAGGTATTATAAATAAATGTACTGCTTTTCAAATGGAGGTTTTTAGTTTCTGGATCCATACATGTGTATCTCTCCATAAAACATCAGTGGTCATATGGAGTGTAGTAATGTCTTTTGTGTGTTTAAATTTAGGTTGGACTAAGCAAAATGATCAAAATTATAACCAGACCAGTTATCTTTATTTTGATCACACCACAGTATAGATTGTCTCTATTTGTTATTTACCATCTTCATCATCATCATTGTCACTCCTTTCTCACAGTTAGCTTTAATTACTTATTGTTATTGTTATTGTTATTGTTATTGTTATTGTTATTGTTATTGTTATTGTTATTGTTATTGTTATTGTTATTGTTATTGTTATTATTATTATTATGTTTTTCTTCTTTCACAGTTCGTACTCTCCAGGGCTCTGACAAGCGCCCAGTCTCCTTGGGAGCAGCTGAGGGGAGTCTTTATTTAAATGGTAGACAGCACTTTTTGCAAAATATGGGCTGTGCCTAGAAGACTCATCTTTGGGAGTTCTTTGATATTGATGTTCCTAGTGATTTTTTCCACGTATTTTCCGAGGCCCGTTTTTAGTAGGCCAAGAGCTGCAATAACTACAGACACAGTTTCTGTTTTAAGGCTCATCCTTGAGACTTCGATCTCTAAATCCTTATACTTTGAAAGCTTTTCAATCACGTTGACAGATGATGATGATGACGATGATGATTATTATTATATCTTGTTTAGCAGTTCTTACTGCTCAGAACTCCAAGGAGCTACCAGTTTCCTTGGGAGTGGCTGAGGGGAGGGGGGAGTCGTTATTATCTAGTTGGTGAAGAGCGCTTTTTGTAAAATGTGGCTGATCTTCTGGAGGTCCTCAACATTGATGTTTCCAGGGATTCTTTTGACGTATTTTCCCAGGCCCTTTGTAAGCAGGCCAAGTGCTCCTTATTATTTCTGTTGTAGGGGGTGAAAGGAGAACCAGGAATGGATAAAAACAGTAATGGTGGTGTTAAAGTAAGTGTAAGTTTCATGACCTTTTTTTGTCTGTAAGAAAGAACACTTTAACAACCTTAATCAGTTCTCCAACGTGGATTTACCTTCAATCAAATATTTCTGGTTTTTTTTTTCTGCCAACTAATTTTCAGTGTGCAAGACAAAAACGAAGGCACATGCTTTATCCAACACAGCGACACACACACCACTCATTCAATTTTCGTGTCCCTCACGCTTCTAAATGTTACATTCGGCCTGTTAGTATGTCCGAGCTGGCGCTCGACTAAACTAACTAAACAGATCGAATTTTATTTCTTTATGGATTCGTTTCTGGTATAAAACAAGCACCGTATGTAACTTTAAGTTTTCTTCTTGTATCGCTACAGTAAAGGATAAAGTGTTGATCAGGTTTTGAAATTCCCGAGCTCTTTGGCTATCTAGCAGAATATTAATATATGTTCATTATAATTATAAATACTTTGTTTGATAAGGGTGAAAAGGGATCTCGTGGTGACAAAGGATCCCAAGGAGAGAAGGGATCACAAGGACAAAAAGGAATTTCGGGAACGTGTGATACAAAGGTAATTATTACCTCACAGCTCCCAGATTTTCACTCTTTAGTGATAATTATCCTTATTACAATAAGCCATATTAATTTAATTACCATAAACTGCATGCACGATCTCTTCCTTTCGGGCCTGTTGTCTTTAAAAGGGAGAAGTGTACGTGAATAAGCGGTAAAGTTGTGACACGTGACGGTGAGTATCGAGGTTTTTAAAAATCAAATAAAAATTAGCTTGCATGTCCTACTAGTCTAAGGAAAGAGGAACAAAATACAATGTAATGCCCGCAGTCTGCCATATATGATGTTAACGTAAGATTAGCTCAATGTCATCTTGAAAGCAGGAGCCTTATTACATCACTTGGTGTCCGATCAAGGGAGATTTTCGTCAGAAAAAGTTATCTGTACAGGTGTTCAACTCTGTTTGCACATATAACTACGATCATGTACAATAGTCTTGGGACATTATTTGCATTTGTGCATTTCAATTCACACATACCCAACCCCTACCCCCACCCTACAAACAACGTTGGACGCGTGTCGGCGTGTATCCAGAATTTTTCCGAGTTTCAACATTGTATAGGGTGGGGGGAGGGAGAACTGCAAAAAAATTTCGGAAAGGATGCCCAACGTGTATTTTATAAGGGCTTCCAGAAATTACAAAATATTATGAATACTGCATCACTGCACTAGGACTTTTGTCCAGGAGTGTACATTAGGAGATTGTTAGCTTTGTTATTTATTTGTATTTTGTTCTTACAACTTATTTTGCGTTTTAGAGCAAATCAGGGTGCTGTTTAACCGGTAAGGACATTATTTACTACTGTTGCTACGATGTACATTTACATTGATTCACTAGAAAGAAGAGTTTCCGAATTTTAAGTTCATAACACCGTGGCCCATCTTTGGTCATTGCAAAACCACAACACATGAGTAAATTCTTTTGTCGATTAATTCTAACTAGGTTTTTTTATTGATATTAGTTGTTAACGGAGATGTTCATCCTTTTTTTCTTGTGCAAGACTGCTCTATTGGACTCCACTTCTTTGAAAAAGTTCAAGATCTACCAACCCGAGGAGCTGTAGGTGTGGAACATTTCACCATTGATGGAAGTTTGTTTCTTGCTTTTGCGAACTATCATGGGGACATTAAAAAATACAAGACAAGTTCCATGATCTACAAGATGGACAACTCAACTGGAAGATTGTCTTTGTACCAGACCCTACAGACAAGAGGAGCTTTTGACCTGGAATACTTTTCTATCGCTAACAAACATTTTCTTGCTGTCCCTACCCACTACGATGGAGCATACCGGGTGGATTCTACAGTTTATCAATGGAATGGAAAGCTGTTTGTCGACTTTCAGAAATTATCAACAAACGGAGCAAGCGACTTCACCTATTTCAAGGTAAATGGGGATAGTTATCTCGCAGTAGCCAACTACCATGATGGAAGTACCCATTCTATAAAGTCAGTTATCTACAAATGGAGCAGCGGCAAGTTTAACAGATTTCAAGACATATCAACTGAAGGTGCCCTGGAATGTGCGGCGTTTGTGATAAACGGTGACACGTTCATCGCTTTTGCAAATCATTACAACTCCCAACACAAGCATTCTGTTCAGTCCACTGTGTTCAAGTGGTCAGGAGGTCGCTTTGTTAAACTGCAGTCTCTTCAGACTTACGGAGCGCACGATGTGAAGTCTTTCAACGTCAACGGTCACACTTTCCTCGCTTTTGCCAACTACTACTCTGTAAGTAAGCACAAAACCGATTCTTTCATTTACAAGTGGAATGGTAACAAGTTCGTCCTGTTCCAGTCCATTCCTACTCGAGGAGCCATCGCATTGTGTCCATTTGTGATCAGCGGTCAAACCTACCTTGGTGTGGCTAATCACTATGGTGACAGTCAGAAGTACAACACCAAGTCAGTTGTGTACCAGGCCTCTGGAGCGCAGTTCATCAAGTACCAAGAGATTCCAACAAATGGGGCGCGTGGTATGACGTCATTTGAGTACAAAGGTCATACTTACCTTGCAGTGGCAAACTACTACAATCGCCGGAAGCACAACATAAACAGCGCCCTGTACAAGTGGATTTAGAGCAGGAGGCCATAAGGTCAGGTCCAAGCAAAGAAGATATTTTGTGTAGTGAAGAACTAAAACATTCCAATTGCTAATCTTAGTAATAACGGGAACTTTAAGCGTAATAATGTCTATCCGTTGAGAAGGGGTTTTTATAGGAAGGGACTGATACAATAACGTCAGTTTTTTGGTTGATATAGTGAAATGTTAGGAAACAGCTTTATTATCGCGGCGATTAGTTGCAATAAAGATGTGCTTGGAACACTAAGAAGTTGTGTACTTTTATTTGAACGAAAATCCTACAAAAATGAATCTGTGGCATAGCTTGTATTTCTGTCCATCTCAACGTAATGTATTATAATGAGCGCAGCTTGAGCAATCTGCAAACGGAAAGGAAAGTTAAAGAATGTATTCTCGGTTTTCACTGTCACGCAATCGAAAATAAAATTGCAAACCATTCAGTACAGAAAGTCCAGAATCTAGGAAATAAAAGAAGATAAATATGCAAAAGGCCTCACCAAGAATCAGGTCTGTGCGGTTTTTCATATGCGAGATATTCGGGAAAACGTTTTACCCAAATTTATAAAGCTTTGTATGGAGACGCCATGTTTGTGTCCCTTTGAGGGGCACAAATATGGCCGCCGGAAACCAACAGAAACATCTGTCTTTGAGTTTTCCTACTAATGCGTGGGATCATCGCTTGAAAAACTCATAAAGGATTTAAGTGATATTTATTCTGAGACAAGGAATGTTTAGATAGCAAAGTCTCCCAAAATTGGTAATGTTTTTAACCCACATAAGAGCCTTCCCGACCGCCAGCCAAATGCCGCGTCACGCAAAAGTCTACAAATTCACACGTCCCCTATCGCAAAACGAAGAACCCTTGGAACCAAAACTTTGTTTAAATAAAGGTGTTTATGTGCTGTAATACCTCATGAAACTCAGAAACTCAGAAGAATCGATAGTTTCTTAGTTTGAATTTTGGTGACGTCATGTGAAAACCGAGAATAGGCTTTGAAAGGTGATTCTTTATGCAAGTAACGCGAGTTTTTATTGGCCGATCGATGAACGTAGCAATATCGACTAAAGCATTCAGTAATGTCGTTATTTTGATTACCGTCATTTTACACATTGCCAATTAGATACAAGAAGTATTCGAACGCTCAGATTTTCAAAACCATCTTAGCTTTTCTGGAATATAGGCGTTTTGAGGCTAGACGAGCTGCTGTCTGCTGCTCACTGTCTGCCTATAAAGAGCGAAAACTGCCAGGAAGGTCGTCTACAGGTCGAGCACTTTACGCCTTCTATTCCAGATGCAATATATCGGTTTCGGAAGCACGAAAGGAAAGGAAAATTTCGATATTATGGATTAAAAAGTCGTGGCATTTTTATCTTTCGCCTTCCCTCCTTTTTCTTTTTTCTTGTTCGGTGTTTTTGGTCCTGGGAATTTACTAGGCCTCAATTCCGTGGGAAACGTTTTGGAGAACTCAAGACTTACGGGATTAGAAGGAAGGAAGTGCAGGTGGTTAGTGGAGGATTTTCATCACCATTTTCGGCTCAACTTTATATATTTTTTGTCTTTTTATCCGACCTCCTTGACTTAATCGTTCTAGCATTTTATTTCATTTAAATTTAAATTTTTATTATTTTGCCACATAGAATAAATAACAAGTAAAAGAAAAAAGATAATAAATAGGCTAATTAACATTAAATTTAAAATTAGCATACAGCTTGGAAGGAGTGACTGTGGCGGGGAAATCTCCAAGAAGCCAAAGAGCTTATGAGGAATAGAGATTTTCCTCCACCGGCAATTTAAATACTACGCGGCGTTTAAAAATAAAGAAAAAAACGTGTATTTTAAGCATTTAAGTGTGTTCAGAGAAAAATATAGATATAAAGTGTTAAGGTATTTAGGTTGCATCCTGTCTGATCCTTAAAAATGGTTTGATCACACGCTTGTATATATTAAAAGTCGGGCGTTTCTGATGTTGTTTGGAAATGAATTCCATATTCTAGGACCTTGCAAGAGGATCGAAATTTTTTTAATATTTGTTCTACAGGTATGAGGTCAGTAAAGTCAGAGTATCTGGTTGAATATTGATGAATCTGATTTCCAGTATTAAAGTTTTGAGTAAAATAAATAGGTAAAGCATCATTATGATATATGTACATGAAAGAACTTACTTAGACAGCGTAGATACTAAAAACATCAAGAATTTTCAAATTTGCGAAAAGTGGTTTATTTGAAGCCTTGGCATGGTTTGAAAGATTTCTTGCTCCTACAAAAGTTAGATGACAAAGTTGTCTTTGAGCGCTAAAAATTGATGACGTCGCAAACGGTGCAAGGGCGTGAATCGGCGCGGGCAGTTATGAGGCGAATTGGTTGACGGGAAAGATCTAAGTTAGCTGTTATGAGGCCTAAATATAACTTTGACAGGACTTCTAAATTGACTTCCAAATCTGAGCCAAAGAAGATAGATGATTGAAGAACTTATCAATGCGTGGTAAAAGTTAGAAGATATCAGGGACCAGTTTAACTTAAGAATTAGTTTCAATAAAGATGAATTACTGTCGACTTGGTTAAAAAAGAAACAACATTGCACCAAATGCTAATAGTCTTTTAACTATTCCCCCCCCCCCTCCACCTTAAAGATGGTTTCTTAGCTTGTGACCACAGAAACTCTGTTATTCTCTGACCCCTTCAGGGTTGAAACAGCTATAATTCATAAATAAATAGACCTTTCTGCTTTGGTATGATTTTGCTGTGGACCCATTGTAAGGTTTTCATTCCCCCTCTTTTTCGTTTCACACATTCATCAAAGGGAATCTAATTAATGTTTTAAAAAAGGTTTTTTCTTTGAGATTGTACCTCGCTTTTTAACGCTGAAGGGAGTGCCTGATTAGAGGCTCATGCGCGAGTTCAGCCTTTCATGATCTTTTGCAAATTTAAATAAAAAACACACAACTTTGCTTTTGGGAACGCATTTCATAGTTTTTTCATGCCTAAAATACAGGCGTTATTGCTATTGATTTAACAGATTACCAAGCAAGCTGGGGTCTCAGCAGGATTCCTGAACTGAAATTGATGGCTATTTATAAGAATTCGTGATCAAAACACACCGGCGACACTGAGATGTTTTTGTCGATCTTTTCAATCTATGGTTTTGTCTTAAAAACTATTTGTGTTCAAAGAAATGCATGTAAAACTCTGTATAACTGGGGATGGCAATCTTTGACGAGATGACAGAATTTTCAAAAGGAATTTACGTTCAAATAAAATTCAATTCATTTTATCACCGAGATAATATATAGATTTAGACAGGGCTAAAAGCGAGGCTCCCATTAATAAATTTATAATTTAAATCAAACAATAATCTTGTATTCCACAATTCAGTTAACTTTAGAGCACATTCGTGTGACTTTTCAGGGAAAGGCTAAATGATTTTACAAAAAAATAATTTGCAAACAGCCCAAGAGTGAACCAAATCTCACATCGAGTTGATAGCCTCATAAGTACACCCAAAAACTGGCAATCTTCTTCGATCACATTTATTAAGAGCCATAATGGCTCTTGATCACCGTAGATTAATTAGGCCTGGAAAAAAAATTCCGGCCGAATTTTTTGCGTTCGACAAGTTTATTTTACAAAATCTTGCCAACAAATCTGGGTGCGTGTAAACCAACCTTTTATAACATTTATACGTCACATCTGAGGTGAAACAGTACTATGAGGCACTGTTTTTATCATACAGACCTCGGACAACAGAATGCAGTATTTCACATCTATACGGCCAGCCAGTTCTGACTTTTACAGTGCTAGCAGTGGCGAGTGTTTGAATGAACATTAACAGAGTTACGCTCCAACATAATAAAGAATTTATTATGTTTATTTTTTATTTTAAAACGGTTTAGCGCGCGGCATTTTGAGTACTCCGGGAAGCGTTGTTTACTGAACGACTGAACACAATCGGCACAACGATTAAAATTACAAGAGTGAGTACTAACAATCAATAAAAGAAATATAATTTGGTGAAACATATACAGAGACGACAATTTTTATTCAGGAAGACAAGTATTAAAGTGTCTCTAAAAATCCTGAGTCTTCGAGCTTAAAGCTGAAGTTTATGTTTTAAGCCGGCTTCCCGGTGTTTGCTTTTTTCAAAGACGAACTCGAGGCAAGAAAATCGCCCAAACCTTTCTTTTACAGCCAGAATTATAACTAAATATTCTTTGAAACGTTTTCTTTCTATTTGCGGTGAGAAAATGTCTAAAGGCTTTTTAAAGATCTGTAAGCTTATAACAACCCTGATACTCGGTCAGATCATTGTCTCAAATCTTACAAACGTGCGTAAACAAAATGGCACCATAAACTACGCTCGACTTCATTAAATTAGCAATAAAAAACAAACATCAAATACAATAATTACTTAGGCTTACCACTCGAGATGCAGCTCCTGAAAGTTATCAAGTAAGGCCAGTATCGCCTCAGACTTTGCAACCCTCTTACGCATTACGCAAGATGAAAATGATGCCATCCGAAATCGGATTTCCGACTTTGACTCAACCAAAAACCCAATAAACAAACTAGCCATGAATAACAGAAGACTCCTGATAGCAGCTGAATTTCATTTTGTACATCCAATGGAAAAAGAAAGCTAAAATCATCACAAGTTGACACAAAACTCTGCCCTTACAATCCGTAGACGCGTACGTACGCTCGGTCAATCACTCTTGTAATTTTAATCGTTGTGCCGATTGTGTTCAGTCGTTCAGTAAACAACGCTTCCCGGAGTACTCAAAATGCCGCGCGCTAAATTCTTTATTATGTTGGAGCGTAACTCTGTTAATGTTCATTCAAACACTCGCCACTGCTAGAACTGTAAAAGTCAGAACCGGCTGGCCGTATAGATGTGAAATACAAAATTCCGTTAGCCTGTTGCTTAAAATAACGAAGAAACCAAATAGCATCGGGCGTCCATCTTGGTGCTTCGCGCGAAACCAGAGCAGCAACTCTGCAACCGGATGTGATGTCATAAATCGGTGGATCATAGGTACACGAAATTTCGCTAAGTCGTGGCCCCCCCCCCCCCTGATCGGGATCTAGTAAAATAATTAACTGGTCAGCGGACAGCTTCCAAATAAATCACGTCACCTCAATGAGTTGACACATGAGCCCGCGATATGGTCATGGGATACTGGTCAGTGGCTATCCTGTTTTGACAGCTGTCAATTGACCATATTGTGAATATCCAATGTAAAAGATGTG